ATTTCTCCTCCTGGCCTCCCCCAACAGTCTTACCAGCCAAACGCCGTAACCGGCACAGTGTGGCGGGGCCACAGATTGCTACCCGTTTACCGGCGACGACCGACAGAGCCCCTGTGCGACGCAGTAACACCATGCCCCCCAATTTGGGTAACGCTGGTTTATTGGGGCGCTTGTTGGAAGACCGAACCCTTGCCGCCGGTAAGGATGGTACAACCGGGTAGTTTCTCCGATTCTAAACCATCGTGGCACAAGCTTTACCGCCTGTTTTTTTTCCCCTTAGCGAGCGAACCGGGAGCGGTACGGATCGTCTGCGGGCATCACAACTGGATTGCGGTGGCTTACGCCCAGTTCCTTGTCTGCTATAGGTAAACTGGTGGGGGGACCAGGGACCCCCGTCTTGTGCCAGCAGTGTCCTCAAGCCCTGCCCCATGCCCTGCCATCTTCTCCTGTTTGTCCCCAGGATGAAGGAGACGTCGGGGTGGCAGCAAGTCTTCTCCAGTCCCCGCTTGGACTGGGTGATCGAACGGGTGGCCCTCAACGCCAAGGTGCTTGGCGGAGCTTTGGGTGACCACGACAAGATGGTGGCGGTGGCGTCTTGCAGTGAGATCATCCTCTGGGCCCTGCAAGCTGACGGCAATGGCAGCGAGATCGGTGAGAAACCATCCCTGACCCTTCCACCGACTCGATCCTGCAGGATTTTGGCAGGATCTGGTCTCCTTGGCTTCTTTCTGGATGTATTCTCCTCACCCAGGCGTCTTCCACCTGGGAGTGCCGGTGGAAGCCCTCTTCTTCGTGGGGAACCAACTCATCGCCACTAGCCACACTGGCAAAATCGGCGTCTGGAACGCTGTCACCAAGCACTGGCAGGTGAGCACGGGTACCACCGTCACTGGTTTGTCCTCAGATTGTCCCCAAAACTCCTTTCCCATCCCTCCTGCAGATCCAGGACGTTGTCCCCATCAACAGCTACGACGCTGCTGGCACCTTCCTCCTCCTCGGTTGCAACAACGGCTCCATCTACTATGTGGGTGAGTGCCGATGATGCGGCTCTAACCGCCCCGGCCCGTGGCAATGCTGCCGCCATCACCGTCCCTCTGTGTGTCCCCCCTCTGCCCCCAGACGTTCAGAAGTTCCCCCTGCGCATGAAGGACAACGATCTGCTGGTGACAGAGCTTTACCGTGACCCCACTGAAGATGCTGTCACTGCCCTCAGTGTCTACCTCACCCCCAAGACCAGTAAGAGCTCCTGCTGCCCACGTTTGGGGGGGCTCCTCACCCCACTGGTTTGCTACTGGGATGAACTGGGAGGGCTTTGGGATCATTTTGAGGGCGGGCGTCGTGTCCGTAGGTGACAGCGGGAACTGGATTGAGATTGCCTACGGCACCAGCTCCGGTGTAGTACGGGTCATCGTGCAGCACCCTGAAACGGTGGGCTCCGGTCCTCAACTCTTCCAAACCTTCACCGTACACCGCAGCCCCGTCACCAAAATCATGCTTTCGGAGAAACACCTCATCTCCGGTGAGCACTGGGTGAGGAAAACACTGCCGGGTGAGGAAATCACTGGCGTTTGCTGCTCATCCACCCTCCATTTTCCCAGTTTGTGCCGACAACAACCATGTCCGGACCTGGACAGTGACTCGTTTCCGTGGGATGATTTCTACCCAACCTGGCTCGACGCCGTTGGCTTCCTTCAAAATCCTCTCCCTGGATGATCTTGACGGTCCTGCTGGCTGCGGCTCTGGCACCGATATTGGTAAAAGAGCGCCGGGTTCGGCAGTGAGGTGGGACAATGGCACAGGATGGGCACAGAGCCATGGGTTTTTACCGGCAGGACCTTTCGGCGAACGGGACGAGCAGCAGGTCTTCATCCAAAGAGTGGTGCCGGATGCATGTCAGGTCTTCGTCCGGCTTTCCTCCACCGGTAAAAGGTGAGCGCTGGCAGTTTTGCCACCAGCGAAGGAAAAATTGGAGTGCTGAGGGGGATCATGGAGTGTCATCCCCCGCCCCCCAGGATCTGCGAGGTGCGTTCGGTCGACGCCGCAGCCATCACCGCCTTCACCGTCCACGAGTGCGAAGGCTCCAGCCGGATCGGTTCCCGCCCGCGCCGTTACCTCTTCACTGGCCACGCCAACGGCAGCGTCCAGATGTGGGACCTCACCACCGCCATGGAGATGTTGGGGAAGCCCCCAGGTAAGTGCTGGAGTGGGGGGGGGGGGGGGTGGAATTTTGGCGTGCAACCCCTTTCCCAAAAAAAGCCCAATCCTCACCCTTCACTCCACAGAAGCCGGTGGTTTGACGGAAGAGGAGCTGTTACGGCAACTGGATCAATGCGATTTGGCATTAACTGGACCCCCCGGGCCCCCCCGGACCCCCAACCCCAGGGAGGCGACCCCCCCAGGCCCCCCCCCCCAATCTCCCCTTCTCCCTCCTCCCCCCAGGTTTAGGTTTTTGGGGGTTGCCCACCGTATTCCCCCCCCATTTTTTCTTTGCAGCCTTCGGTCGCCAGGGCCCAGCCGGGTGGATACGCCGACCCCTTCCCCCCCACTGCCGAAACACCGCGGGGAACCCCTGGGTATCCCCCCCCAACCCCGTTATCGGGGGGCAGAGGGAGACCCTCCCTTTTCCGGGGGTCCCCGAGGAGGGGGCAGTTTTGTGGAGCGCTGCCAGGAACTAGCCCAACGCCTCGGCCCCCCCGAGAACCCCGAACCCCCCCGTTTTGGGGGGAAAAGCAAAATCCTCCGACCCCCACCTCCACGTCGACCCCCCAGTTCCGGACCCCCCCCTACGGCTCCCAGGACTGTGCCCCCTCCCCCCGGGCCTGTCCCTGCCCCCCCTGCAACTGCTGACGCTCTCCCCATTGTCCCATTGGCGACCCCCAAATCTCGGCTCAATGAGACATCGTTTTGAGGGGGGCAGGATCCCCCCCACCATGTGCCTTCACTTTGGGGGGACACTGCTGTTGTCTGTGTCCCTCCCTCAGATTTTGGGGAGGGGGGCACAGAGGAAGGCCCCCCCCACCATGCCAAAGCGCTGTGGTTTTCGGGGTTCCCCTTCCATACACCCCTTTTTGCCTCTGCTTCGTGCCCTGTGGTTTTTTTGGGGGTCCTGCCCCCCCCAGCGGTGTCTTGGG